GTCCCAAGTGCTTTAGGCCACTTTAGCCATTTTCAATTGGTTTATCATTAAGTGTTGTTAGTTTCTTTTCATGTTTGTCTGTGTTGCAGTTTTGTGATGTCTATATAATAGTAGCATTTATTATTATCAAGTTGGTGTCTTTCTATTTTAAAAAAATTAACACGTTATTTCCATTGATAAAGTGAGGTTAATACTGGGTGCCAGGTATTTTATGTAGAGGGCCTCTCTCACAGCGAGGTATCTTCAGTTATGGGAACTATATAAACTGGAGAAACACCTGCTACCAAGGCATAACTAACTTTGAAAAGAATCGTCTCAACCATCTGAGAGAATTAAGAATTAACACTAAATCTCAGGCTAATACATCAGCCCATATGGTGGACAACCCTTTAGTATGCCCTTCATGTGGATTTGTTTGCAAATCCTGTGCAAGATTGTTGTCTCATATGAAACATAAAAACTGAACTAAAGACACTCATACATCGAAAACAACAGAAGAGTTCATCATCATATATATATATATATATATATATATAGACACACACACAAAATACAAGTAAAAAGTTTGTTACTTAGCTGATTGATTTTACCTTCAGCATTCTGACTTCAGAGTTTTATAGATGGACCCTCCGGGAATTACTCTGTCCACTTGTCAGGGGGCACCAGCAATTGACCACTTATACTTTTTGTTTTTTTTTAATTTTTTTTTTATATGCACTTACTATTGGTGCAATTTTTTTTTTTTTTTCATGGTGTATGTGTGTGTGTTCACCCATCTCTGTGCATGTGTCAAATGTCATGATCATTTGTCCTTTTCGTCATCTTTTTTTTCTTTCACTTTACACTCTCTCCTCCTCTTTTTTTTTTTTTTTTTTTCTTTTAGTTGTTACCATTTGACTTCTGGTTTAGACATGTTGTTGTTGTTGTTGTTAATTCTTGAGTTAGGAAAAATTGTATTTCATTCTTTTTACATAAATAGAAAACTCAGTGGAACAGTCAGAATAGTAAAGAAAAACTGAAGTTAATGAAAGAGAATAACTAGGTCAAGGCACTGCTGGGACTTGAATCCAGAGTTAGACATTATGACCTACAATAATTTAGTAGTACAAGAATCCTTTTGGGAAATCCTGTCAAGTTGATAGATAATCCTGAGCTGAGTTGTTCTGCATTTTTCCGAAAATGATTATTTTATTTATTTATTTTGCAGAATCAGTTGAAAAGAATGTTTTATCTTCAAATTAGTACAGGTTAACTAATCATTTTAAAAGTTCAATTCTCAGGTAGTGTTTATACTATTTACATTGTTTGGACTGTTGTCCTCATCTTTATTGCCATATGCACAACATTTCAACCATTGTACACTTCAGCCTCTTCAGGTGATATTAGTTGGAATTTTGAACCAAACTCTTTAGAATACAACTGCTGAAATGTTGTGAATAAAGCAATAAAGATGAGGACAATAACCCAAACAATGTAAATAGTTACAATACCTCATCTCAGAAATATAATCAGGCACTATCATTGAGACTTAGTTTAAAATCAAAAACATTTTTCAAATTGCTATTATTCCTTCCAAATTCTAAGTCAGAAATGTCATGATGTTATCCCTGCAGAGTTTTAATGTAGAGAGAAGCTGATGCGATTTCTGTAAAATAAGTTAGGGATGAGGCTAATGGCTGAAAAGGGCTCATGAGTTTGTTATCTGATCTCAGTGTCTCTGGAGAAAGGCAGCTCCCAAATGTCTCCGGGTGCTGCAGGCAATGATTAATTATGTTGATTCTCAAAAATTTGAGACACACACTAACCCAGCCATCTCCCCCACCAAAAAAAAAAATAGGTTATCATAAGACCAATTCAAATCAGTAAAATCATCCACTGCACCACAATAATTGCTCACTACTAAAATCTTCTGGAGCCACGTGGAATAATAGCAGATTCTCAAGGGTGTGCATGCTACTCTCTCTTTCCCTAGTTGGCATTAATCAGCCAGCCAATCCTGAAGCAGATTGCAAAAGTTGGAGAGGAAAAGGAGGAGGAATGAGTAGAGGGGGATACAAAAAAAGCAAATATAGGGGTTTTGTAAATATGTCTCCCTTGTTAGTGTACTTTGATATTATGCAATGATCTAGGAACCAAAACGAACAAGAACATAGATCAGAAATGGGCAACCTATTCCTATCTGTGGGCCACATCAGATATGGCTCATCATAAGGCAGGCCACATTACTAAAAAGATTCAAGGTAATTTTTCATTAAAGGTGCCTCAGCCATTTTCACCACAGAAGTCCATCTGCCTTAGAAGTGTGTTGGGGTGAAAGTTGATTGTTTTGGGAATAAAGATTTCTGAATAATTAAAAAATGAAGTCTTTGCATAAGTCATTAATGACAATATGATTAACAGGCTCTGATTTTTTTTTTTCTTACTTTTTCATTTTAAAATACAACAAATAATTTTTAAAATAAAAAAAAATATATTTCTTCTCTAGAAAAAAGAAATGATTATGAATGTTACCTATTTCTAAAGCAAAAGATCTTTGCATATATGATCTTCCTTAGTGAAAATGGCCAATGGTTTAAAATAATGTAAACGTTACCTTCAATGAAAAGTTACAAAATAAAAGAAACATTTTATTTAAACATTGTTTATGTATGAGAAAATGTGAGTGAACAAGTGAGAATGAAAGATATTTTTAATAAACATTTTTTTTTTTTTTTTTTTTTTTTTTTTTGAAATTAGAAAGCTTAAACAGGGCACATGTGACCCACAGACTGCAGCTTGCCCAAAACTGATATCTATAAACAAAAGTGTCGGAAGTGGGATTACCTTCCTTAGACATTTAGTCACATGGTATGAGTATAAAAAGCAGCCCGATAACCAAAGTTAAGCAACATTGATCCTGGTCAGTACCTAGATGGGTGACCACTTGGGAATAACAGATGATGTAAGATTGGATGTGGTATAATGGATAATGGGCTCAGAATTGTTAATCGGAGAACCAAGTTTCAGTTGGGTTCGTTATAGTCATTTATGTACAAATACCCCTGGGAAAGGTATGAATTCACTTCTTTCCCCCCAGCTATGGGTTAATTAGTAAGACTTGTATTCCTAAATCATTATCTTAAAAAAAAATTCTTACAGTCTAAAAATCTTTTCTGGCTTCAAAAAACCTGCAATGGGCTGATAAACCATAGAAAACAAATCAAACAAAAAGCAGTGCATTTTCAAAAATCTTTTCTCATTTTCCCTGAACACAGCTGCTGCCCAGCATGTAAATAATTTTGCCACAACTGCCAAGCACTCACATACATCTACCCACTGTTTATAAAAATTGTAATTTTATGAAAAATACATTGTTTTTATTTTAAACAATGAAATATTTTGTCATTTACATGTGAAGATTTAGGTTGCCTCTGCTGTTAGTTGAACTGACTGCAACGATGTTTGGTACCTTACATCTGGCCATTTGTCACATCTTGTTGGCTTTATCTCGTATCCAAGTATTTAATTTCTTTGTTGATCCCTTCCTATATAATGATGGTGTTGATGATTAAATTCGCCACCAATGTGCAAGTTTAGGACTAGAAGCTTCCAGTTTCACCAAAACCTGCTCTTGTCATCTGTTCCCTATCGCTGTTTGGCTTTGCAAGATTTGGTTGGCAGTAAAACAAAATCTGAGTAGAAAAAAGTGCCAATGATATGAATTTCTTTAAAGTGGACCTCAACTTACCAGAAAGTGACCCACACACTAGATTTCATTACCTTCTTCTGTGGTACATATGGAATGAGGCATGCAAAATCCAGTTTTGAAACTGCAATGGACTGCTGCTAATTATTATAATTTTGAGTGGGGCCTTCTGTAACATGTCCATCATGCGTAGCCCTCTTTATCTACTGGTTCAACCGTTGAGATCTGTTGCAATTCACATCTAAGCTACACTTATTAAATCAGAGCACTTCAACGTGGTGTAATGGTTAGCAAGCTTGTCTTGCTCGATCATTTATGACTGTTCAATACTCATTAGATTCCTCATAATCTGTCCTGTGCTTAGTAAATCTCTGTACTTCCCATGTTAGTCTCAATTTTTTCAATTTTTGTAAGTTAAATTTTAATTAGTTTCATTTTATTGCAATACTTGGGATTTTTTTTAACACTTTCTATAACTTAAATAAGCAACTTGAATTGGAAAATAAAGAAGTAACTTTCAACAAAAGTTGTAAGTTTCAAAAGCCTTTATGGCCAATTGGCTTTATTTTTTATTCCGATGTCCTAGATCATTGGTACTCAACCTATTTTGCCCAATGCTCCCTTTTCACCATAAGTCAGAATGTCATACCCCCACTTTCCAAGATTGTCCAACTCGAAAGGTGGATTTAAAATATTAAAAATTTCTCAGTTAACCTGTAGAAAAAGACAATACCTATAAAGGTAAAAGACAATAGGAAAACTGTATTATTAGCCGACGCATTTCGTCCAATGTGGACTTTTTCAAGGCAAGAACAAAAAGAATTTATTGAAAGCAAAGTAACCTATTCACTTAGATCATTGGTCCTCAACCTATTTTGCCTAATGTACCCTTTTCACTATAAGTCAGAAGAATGTCATTCCCCCACTTTCCAAGATTGTCCAACTCAAAATGTGCATTCCAAATAATATGCATAGATTATTGAAAAATCTTCATTCGTTTCTGTATTAGTATATATACATTTACATGGATTATTTTTATAGAGGAGTTTTACAAATTTAATAGCAAACAGCAAATGTTGATGGATTTTTAAAACTTGAATACATGTACAATAATTAGTTTTAATTCATAACTAAATATTAAATAAACTGAAGCATGCTTCAATAGAATGCCAGAATATTATAATTCAATAAATAAAATTCTATAAATAAAAAAAAAGAACCCCCCCTCGACAGTTGAGAATGCTTATCCTAGATGTATTTTTTGTTTGTAATTATTGTTCCTTTCAAAATGCATGTGCTGTTGTTTTACATTTAGGTTCATCTCCGCAAGATGAAGGCTGTCCTCAAGTGAAGACGTCTCGATCCGATCAGCCATATGTCAAGTACATTCTGCCAAGTATTGGCCCCTATTCTTATCCCAGCTCTGAATCGGAGACATCGAGCAGTGAAGATTCTGAGCTTGATGCTCCCTGTTTAGTGACCAGTGCCCTTCATACTGAGCACGAACTGAAAAGGATGGCTATGATCTCGGCTGCCAATGGTTACCAAAGTTAACATCCCTTTCTCTTCTTCTCGGTTTTCTTTCAGTTTTTTTTTTTTCTCTTGTTTTTTAATCGGAAAAAAAAATAATCTCTTGTAAAATAAAAAAAAAAAATGAAGTAGATTAAAAGGGAAGAACTGTTTTTCCTAATGAAAAGGAAATTCTAACAAAATCGACACACAATTTACCAATTAAATAATGTCCACTTAATTTACAATATTCTAAAGGTGGAATACCCTTTTGGTCTGATTTTTATACAAAAATCGTTTTTAGTATTTTCTTTTTTTTTTTTTTTAAATTCATTTATATCTTCAATAAGTATGTCTCATTAGATTCAATGTGTTTTAAACAACTTTTTTTTAGGAATCGAATAAAAATATTCCTACAGTATTATTTTTTAACATACAACTGGAATTATTCCTATTTGGATCTACAGGCTTAATACAAATAAATGCTGGTTTTGAGAAATTGCTTAAAAAATAGATGATCTAAATTATAGTATACTTTTTTTTTTTTTCAACTTGGTTTGACTCTGGTTAAAAGAAAAAAAAAAAATCTTCATCTATCTTTTGCAGAGAAAATAATGTAAAATTATATTACCCACTACTTGTTGCCCTTCCTTCACTTTTGGTAGAAAATAATAGAAGCTTCCTATCTGTTCTTTATTTTGAAATCTGTTTTTTGCAAATGTACACATTTCAGCATTTTAATGCCTTTTGAGAAGACATATTTGATAACTCCTACCAAAAGGTTTCATTAAGTCTGTATGTGAAATTTTATGAACAATGATCCGGTCAAGAGTTTTTAAATGTTACACAAATTTTAAATAAATGCTTGACAAAAAACAGATTTGTTGAAGTCCTCACAAGAAATTATTTTCGCTTCATTTTCAAAAGCATAAATTATTTCTATTCCTTGAAAAAAGAGCAATATGTATTCATATATACATAAAATTACTCAAATGCTTTTTTTTTTTTTAGGAATTTTGTACTTTTAACTTCATTTCAGATTAGGTTATCTCCTATTCACATGATGATATACATTTTCTTTGTTTTTGAGAATTGACAACAAAAATAATAAAAACTACTTATTTATTGACTTCTTTATTTACACTATTAGATAGTTTATTGGAATGCTAATTGCCAATTGATTCAAACTTTATAAAATGGTAAATAATACAGATTTCCATAAAGTTGGTTCAAATATTTAATAATTTTGTAAATGTTTATAAATAAAAAATTTTTATAAATTAGTAAATGATAAATTTTGTATTGCATTAGTTTTAATATAATTGTATTAGATTTTGTAAATATAATGTTTAATATTTTTTTTTGTAAATTATCAAGAACATAAAATGTATAAATTCACTTTCATCCTATGTTTAGGTTTCATTAGAATTATAATCACTTTTTAAAACGATGAATATTGCCAATGATTGAAGGTAGTTAAAAATAATAGTGGTGTCAAAGGAAAAGCTGTACTTTTGATTATTGTTGTTTTTTTTTTTGTTTTTTTTGTTTTTTCAGGCAAAAAAGGTCCAAGACTGACAAAAATTCACTCTTTTCTATGAATTTTTCATGAAATTTGTCAGAGTTTAAGTAACTAACTTGTTAGCAATGGCTTGTGAGATGAGCTTGTTAAGCTTTTCATTAGCATAAAGATATTTTGATGTGTAGTGGAATCTGAAATTCACTTATCTTAAAATTATTTACATTAATTATTTTAATAAAATTCTAATAATCACTTTTTAAAACAATGAACATTGCTGAGGAGTGAAGGTAGTTAAAAACTTTTGACACACTTTTTTTTTCTTTTTTATATATGAATGCCCAAGTTTGTCAAAATATATATATCTTTATTCAATACAAGTTCAAATGTGGCAACATAGCTATCAACTGATGAAATAGAGATATTTTGATGCGTAGTGTGCCCGATAACTGAAATTCGAAATTCAGTCAACCTATAATTATTTACATCTGTTTAAGAATTTCCTCTCTCGGGATTTTAATTCAATTTAAAAACGTTTGTCTTTAAATGAATGGTGAACAGAAGAAGAAAAAAAATTATATTCTCTCTCTCAATCTTTTTTTTATTTTACCAGCCAGAAATATTCAGAAAATATTGTCTACAATATAAAATAAAAGTGACTTAAGAAAGAGGCGTCATCTTTGCTTCTCATAAACAGGGTTATTTTATTTTACCATGTAACCCGGATATAAGAGATTTTCTCTGGTCCCAAATTAGAGCCTGTGTTAATGTATATAAAATAAACCAAACCCGGCTATAAGAGACAACTCTCTTATATCCGGGTTACACTGTACTTTTGTTGGAAGACATGTGCATCTGATATATCATCTAATACAAACGAGAAAATCTTAAATTTTTTTTTTTTTTTTTTTTTCAAAACTTCAAAAGACTTATCTTCCGACTTCAAGTTTTAAAGATACACTCCTCATCAGGATAAAGATGATAAGCAGTTTATCTGCAGAATTCTAAGATGTGTCTGTGCAGAAGAAATCCACTTATCTTCAAAAATGTTGAGGGCGTGCACCTGCTGATGCCATTGGCTTCATGATATAAAGAAAAACTGGGTCAGACTCATTCTGTCGTTTATAACAGAAAAAGGTTGATGGAATAACCCAGATATTCTGGCTACAGATTAGTCTACTTACCTTTAAATGCATATATTAAGTCAGTGGCAGTGAACAAGAAAGCAGAAGAACTGATGCAGTGGAAGAATAGATCTGTGACTATTTGAACTTACAGCTCTGTGAATTTGTGACAATTTGCTACAGAGACTTTTAAACTTCCTAAATTTACCCACCTTTTTTTTTTTTTTTTTTTTTTGGGCTGTTAACGATCTGTGTTGTTTATTATGAATTTTTCAAAATCAGTTTATTCTTTTTGCAAGTTTTAAACTTTGTCTAAATTTTTAAGATGAACACTTATTAACTTACACTGATTTGTGTCTAATATAATGTCAGTTGGTTCATAAGTGATGTTATTTTTGCTTGTTATATCAAACAAAAGTATATGAATTTTACTACCCAGTGCAGAAATTGAATTTACAATCACCAAATCAGCTGCATACACTTGGTTAGCAGCTTAAATTCATGTCAATTAGGGTAGGGCTTTTGAGTTTCAAATTTAATTTTGGTAACAGCCAAGATACTCTCCCTTCTTCATCCGCCACACAGATGAGCAGAAGCTATTCAATATATAAATCCATAGCAGACAAAGCTAAAATAAATTGTGGGAGGGACTCCTCTTTATATGAGGATTTTTGTAGTCAAAGCTATGATCAAAGGATTTTCTTCTTGATAAAATTGATTAAGTGATTTTTTTTTTTTTTTTTTTACTGCTTAGCAACTTTTTGCAGGTTATTTTAAAGCCAGAAAATATTTTTTTTAAAGAATTTTTCTTTTTTTAGATAATGGTTTGGTGATACAATGACTAATTAACCCATAGCTGGGGGAAAAGAGGTGGATTCATACTTTTCCCAAGAATATTTGCATGTAAGTCAATATAACAAACCTGACTGGAATTGGAACTTGGCTCTCCAATATCCAATTCCAAACCATTATGTCACTTGCACATCCAAGCTTACAGCATCTGATATTCCCAAGGTACTGACCGGGTTTGACATCAGTGAACATACAAGTATTGAAGTTTTAACATGAGAGGGCCATAAGCCCTCTCAACATAACAGAGTTTTGGCAGTCAATGCTAAAATAAAAGGGACCTCCATTTCATATGAGGCTTTTGGCAGTTAAAGCTATTGTCAAAGAGCTTCATCTTCATACAAGGTTTTGTCCAACTATTTAATGAGAAAGCAACTTCTTCTCAACTGTTTTGTCATGTACTACTTAATCTTAACCACAGTCTTAAACCACCTCCCTTTCAATTATAATTTTTAAATTTGGGAAAGCCTGAAATTAAAAGGAGCCAAATCTAGACTGTAGGTAAGCTAAAATGTGGTTGGTGCAATGCTTTAACAAGAGAAGAAGAGTTGACAGTTGAGATATCTCAAATCGTTGCGTGCTTTCCAGACAGCTCATGGAATTGCCAAATCTGTTAATTCTTGCACTGTCAAGTATTCAACATTTTTGGGGGATTTGCCTTGTTGAATGCCTTCTAGAATGTGGTTTAGTTTCAGTGGGTTCACTGTTTAATTTGGGATTGTTGGAACTACCTCTGAAAGAATTAGTTTCTCCAAATAAATATATTTCAAGAAAAACTTTATACATATTTAGTACTAGCAGCATGACCCGCATTGCCCGTGTTTGATTCAAAAATCGCATTTACTCATACAGCAATCGCTATCACTTGACTTAAAATATTTTTGCCCTTCCTTGCCTTTTAAAGGAGTGCCCTTTGCCCGTGCTGATGTTGCTACATGCCTTACTTCTTGCCTATCTCACACTGCTAATTTTTTCTAAGCTCTATACTAAAACATTAAATCTGTTATGAAAAAAGAACTAAACAAAATGAACACAAAACAATCAGCTTTAAAAAGGACTCATAACTGGAAAAACAGAATGAAAAAAGAATGTTAACAACAAATACATTTTCACACCCAACCCAGTTCTGCGGAATCAGAATCAACGTTGAGTTTAAGCAAGCGAATGAGCCAATTGGAGTAAAGTGCCATGCAGATTTAAATTTTTCCCACTTGTGACGAATGCAGCTATCAATTTTTTTTTTGCATGCTAGTTAACATTCATGTCGGTCAGCTGTTGGCTCTCACGCTGGCCAATAGAATCTTCCTGCCTATTCGTGGCAGCCAGCTATAGGCTCTCACTCTGGCCAGTAGAAAATGGCCGCAAACTACATGAAAAAAATCAATTATTTCCACTATCGCTGGGAGTTGGGAAATGCAAGGTCAGTCTTGGCCTTCCCAATAACTTGGAGCATGTGCATGTAAATTTTGGTGCAAATCTGTTGAAAGTTGTGGCCGTGCATTCGTTATACACACACACACACACACACACACACACATCCTGCCTTTTATAGATAGAGATGAATGTAAGTCATGCAATACGCAAAATCAATCAATGCTATCACATTGCGAATGGAATATGTTCAGGTGCAACTTTAAAGGGATGTGTGTGGGTGGGTGTAAATGTAAAATCTAATAAAATGGTGGGGGGGGGGGCAATAAATGGGGTGGTTGAGAAATGATTAAATGTTGTTAAAACTATAAGATATCAAAGGAATAAAACTGAGAATAAATGTCCATCAATGATTTAAGGAAAATGCTTTAACAAAATCAAAAATATTTTCATGAGATCTTGCCAATTTTAGAAAATAAATAAATCGTCCATAAAATGGCCAACTGATGCATAATATATATCCAACAATATCCCAAATTAATATCTTAAAATGCATTAATGAAATCAAAAATAGTTCCATGATGTTAATTTTCTTTGTCTTGTTAACTCCTCTTCTTCTCCCTCAATTAGTCACTCAGTCCTCTACTCTTCTCTTCCTCCTCACACCCCACTTAGTCTCATGCCCATATCTTCCTCTTCAATCCTCCCCCTTCAGTTCTGTACTCTTCTTCCTCCTGAATCTCTCTGTAGTCCCGTATTTTTCTCTTCTTCCTCTTCACCCCCCCCACTCAGTCCCTTTGCTGTTATCTTCTTCATCTTTAATTCCCACTTCTGTACTCTTCTCTTCCTCTTCACCCCCCCCCACTAGTCCTGTACTCTATTCCTCCTCATCCCACATTTCTCTTTAACAAAGTGTTGTGTATATGTAGGGAAGGTCCTTATAAGTGCTGAAAATGCAAGTTTGAAAAAAAAAAATCCAAAAATTAACAAGTAGGAGAGTATATTAATTTGGCATATGAGAGGACCTCCACAAGAGAGTATTTGTTCATTCATATGCAGTTAAAATCTCCTCTAATTGGTTGCCAAGTTATATATTAGCCATGCAACAAGTTACAGAGATAGTAAAAATAGCTGGCTATCTTTTGGAGAGGCCTTATATATAAGACTCCAGGCAGTTGATTTTTTTAGAATTTTATTTAAGTCTTCTACAATATCAAAATGAAGTTACAATACTTGTATGTGTTTGTAAGCTTTCAAGTTTACAGAATGCAGAGCCATAATTTTCAAGATCAAAGCTATTGGTAACTATTGGCTAAGTTCATTAATTCCCAGAAATTTGAGCCACATGAGTGTCCCAAGAGAGGTGTATATTTCCTATGAGAGCAAGTTGTCAGAATTTGAGATCAGGTTAAAAAAAAAAGAATTTGAATGCTGATTTTCAAAACAAACAAAGCTTAGTAGTTAAGATAGTTGTGCATTTCCCCATGAGACCCAGTGTTTAGCCTTTGAGCCTAGGTAAAAGCCAGGGTTTTGAAATCTTTATCTTTAAGGCAGGCTCTCCCTATTTAAAAGATTGGTGCAACACAACCTTCTTACTTTCATTTTGTACTTATTTGGCCATGTGTCAGACTTAGCTAAGCCTATTTCCCATCACTTCTGATTGCCATAGAAATCTAAAAAAAAATTGTAACCTGGTGATTGTCATTGTACTAAAAGGTGGTAGAATTAGTGGTATATCCTGATATCTATGACAAAGGTATAGTGACCCAGGCATTTGTTGGCACCGCCCTCTATTAAAAATACTATGGGTTGTATTCTGCATCTAATTGTGTGTGAAATATCCAGTGAATCAAATCCTTACTGGATGCTTCATAATTATGGCCTTGTGTCAGACACTACTCAGTGATTATATATTAAATTTTGGGGATGAGGAGTTATTATTATTTAAATGGACTTTTGTGCTCATCTTTGTTGTTATCAGCCATTTACCTTCTTCCAGTGTATATTGACCTGAATAATCTACAGGGAATTCCGTGACATGTGCAGTGGAACAAGAACAGACTACCCCCATAGATTAAATAAAGGGTTCAGTTTGGGATTCCCTGTAAGTTACCCAGATCTATATACACCTGAGGAAGGCCAGAGGGCACAATGGCCGAAATGTGATAAGAATAAAGATGAAGACAATAGCCTGGACATAAATAGGATCAATAATGATAACCTCTCATTCCAAAAACTCAAACAAAATGGCCCGTTTATGGTTGCCTGGTTTATGGTAATATAAATAATAAAAATCATTTACTAAGTCTAGTTAGCTCAGTTCTCGCTAGTTTGGCCTTGTGTGAGATTAAGTTCAACTCAGTGAATAATTGGTATAGTTTAAAATTCAATCAGGGCAAGATTTTATTGTAAATTGTCCTCTTTATTTCATACCCCCATCTTTCTTTTTTCTGCCCTCTCCTCTACGACCTTAAAAATGTACTTTTTGACAGGATCTATCATATCTATTTTGACATAAGAAATTTAATCATTTGAAAATCTAAAGATGTGAAGACCGGGTGTGGGATGGTACAGCCACCATATACAATGTAAATCTCTAGAGTCACTTCATAGACAAACTACCAAACAAACCCACGCTTGTTTTTTCCTTCTTTTTTAATCTATATATATATATAGTATCATCTGACACCAGTGTTTTTAATGTTATTACAGACTGACATAACTGGTTAAAAACTTTCTCAATGCGATGCTTTAAAAAATACTTTCCTTTCAAACAAGTTTAACCACTTTTTTCTTGAGGTTTATTTGGGACCCAGTAGTTTTCCATTCTAAATTAACTCAAACATATGTAAATTGAAAGCATTGTTTCAATTCATTATTTATTTTTTATAGTTTGAGATTGGGTTAACAAGGCTATAATAGCAGGAGCTATGCAGAGAGGACCACACTTAGTATTGGTAAGGACCATCACTCTCTATTTTACAGCAGCTGTCCTATATTGAGTTTGTTTTGGGTTAATTAGATTTTTAGATCTCATAATCAATCTTTTCAAATTACACTAAGACCTGTTTAATTATTTTTATATGACAGTAAAACAATTAGAAGTTCACCTAGAATTCACTATCGGGGGTTACAATCTTAATGTGAGATATGGGGATGACACAGTATTGATAGCAGAAACAGAGAGGAAACTACAAGAACTCTTACAAAAGGTTCTGAAGGAGAGCCAGAAGAAAGGACTAAACATCAATTGCAAGAAAACAAACTGCATGGTTGTCAGCAAAAGAAACAACCCAATATGCGAATTGGAAATACAAAAGTCAAACAACTACAACAATTTAAATATATGGAAAATGTTTTAAAAGAGGATGGATAGTGTGACACTGAAATCCAAAAGGACATTGGGATAGTGAAAGACACCTTCTAAAAGTTAAGCAAAGTATTAAGAAACAGGAAAATTTCATAAACAAAGAAAAGAGTACTGAACTGTTACATAACATCAGTCCTCCTATATGGCAGTGAATGCTGAACAATCTCCTCACAGATGAAGAAGAGACTTGAAGCCACAAATAATGTGGTTCTACAGAAGGATGCTGAGAATACCATGGATCGAACATGTAAGCAAAAAATGGAAATAAAAAGGACACTTATACTTAACATCAGAAAGAGATAGTTGAAATTTCTAGGGCATATAATGAGGACAGATCGAAGGCAAGAGGGAGAGAGGAAAATAACACATAACCTACCTAGTAAGCCTGTGTAAATGGATGGCAGAACAGTGTTTAGGAGAGATAACAAAAAGACAAAAAATTTTAAGAGTTACAAAAAGGACAGGAAATTGTGGGGAGCCATGATCGCCAACGGCCAGAAGGGACACGGCCCATAAAAGAAGTAGAGGAAATAATTTTATCTTAAATAGAAGAAAGTGAGATACAGGTAAAAAAAGGATTATTATATGAACAGATTTTTTTTTCTTCTTTACTTTCAGATATTGATCTATCCTATATCAAAAGTTTTCTTTCTTCCTTTATCGGTCAATTAAACGAATAACATTTCTGCCCTAAAAGAAACCCCCTAAAGAAACTCCGTCATTGGGATGCAGTAAGGACGACGGGTGAGGCCGGTTAGTACCATTCATTATGACAACATTTGCAATAGTTGGCGGGTAGCCAGACTCCCTTAGGAAAATAAACGGGTGGAGAGAGAAAATAATGATAAAAGGAAGAACTGGATTCTTGTCTGAGGTTGACGTCACCAGTTTCTCGGGCAACCGCCTCTTTTTTTTTTTTTTATTTTATATTAAAACAAAAGTGACTCATGAATACAGATGGTTTACTTCTTCATCACTCGAAACAGACATGGGAATGTTAACGGACGATATGCTTTTCTTTCGGTGTTTAGAATAAAACCCGGATTATTTGCTGGTAAGTTCTCTTTCTTTCTTTATGGATTCAGAGAAAAAAAATTCTCATTTTTGGAACATTACATTTATACTTTGCGTTGTTGACCACACCCAACTAAAAACACGTATTCATTTATCGTAAAAAAAAAAAGAAAAAAAAGTGTAACCTTAAACTAGAAATGTGCGTGGTGATTATAAAAGTTTTGAATAATTCATCTCCGAAGCGCAAACTAACCAAAGTCCACTTTTAGGAGTCGTCCTCCCATGTTGTCCGCTCTCCATTGCACTTAAAAACGTGATGGTCAGGTTCAGTGTTTGGTATGCGCCGCGAGGGCAGTGTCGAAATAAATAACTGGACACTGGTACTCTCGGTAAGCATGTGGGACGACACGATGTGACTTTTTGTCGAACCGAACATCGAGTGTGGGTTAGAACTGACAATACGGGAAAATATTTTCAAAGGATTGTAAAATATTAGCAAATGAAATGGACAGACGGAATTTGTAACAAAAAAAAAAAAAAACCCTCTGTGGGAAAGGACAGAGGAAACAAAAATCACTAAGGTGACTTTTCCTTTCGTGTTTTTCTCTTCATTCGTCTTAGTCTTCAGTACTAAAATTTCAAGTAAATTATTGAGGAACCGATACTCCATGAGTAAAATGTGGAATGGTTTAAAAAATTAAGAAAAAAAAAATTAATTTAACATTGTACAACAGTACACTTTTTCGTTTTAACCTGTTTTTAACTAAAAAATTATGTTCAAAACTTTTTTTAACTGTTAGTGTTCTGTTACATTTCCATTTTCCAGTATTCACTCTTTATGAGCAGCTAGATCTTGAAAAATGAAAGTAAAAAAAATCTTCATGATACCCCCTCCAAAAAAACAGGATTTTAATTACAAAAAAATCCAACTTTGAAAAGGTACAAAAAAAAAAACAAAAAAAAAACGATTTTTCAGTTTTACTAGTTTATGTTTCTTTTTTTCCCATTTGCAAAAAATGTCTCGTTTAAAATTGTTTACTTAAAGAAAAAAGTCAAATGCGATGTTCTCAGTGAAACAAACTGTTCTCTTTAAAGTGTTTTTAAAATGAATAAAAAAACAAATGAAAATGTCCCCCAATATTTATTTTTTATACTAAAACACTACAAGCATAGAGGGTAAGGTCTGTGGCTCCTCGGGTATTAACGTCGATTATTTTTAAACAGAATTGTGTAGGTTGCAATATTTGATCAAACGTGCATAAACTTTTCGCGCCAATTGCAATCAGCTGATCAATTTATCTTAAGACAAGTTAACCTGAGAAATGTCATTTATTGAAATGAAATTACATTTTCATTTACTGCAAATAATTAAGTCATTTTTAATTTGCTGTAGCTCAGCGGGTGGGGCTGTCCCCACAGGCATTACCTCTCCTTTGGCAGATGGATAGGGTCATCACCTGGCGCCTAAGGCGTCCCCCAAAGGGAAAAAGTACCGAGAGGACTTGAGCAATAGTTGTCCCTATT